AACAAAGAAAAATATTGTTATATGTTATTTTTGATTTGAGCGGTAGGTGTGTTTTAGAAACTTGAGCTCTTTTGCAAGTAAAAAATAAGAAAAGACAAAAGAGGACGAGATGAGCTGAAATGAGGACAGCGATGCCTTGATGAGAGGCTTTATTTAATGATTTAATGAGCTCATGCTGATTGCTTGCAGGAACCCTGAGAAGAGCGTGTGTGTGTGCGTTATCACCGTCACCGTAATGAACTAATGTAACACAGTGGACCTGCTCATGCTGACGTCAGGAACTGATCCGGATCCAGAAGAGCCTCACCACCATCCTTTCACTGGCGACCACAGATCAAACCATCCACTGCCCGTCTCGCTGTGTGTTTCCCTTCCTGCGCTCATTTCTTTATTAATATATGTCAGTGATATGAGGCTGGCCATCTGCTCACGGCAGCTGCACAGATGGGTTGAAGAAGTGAAGCCAATTACTGTCGGCTGTCAGCTCGGCATGGGCCGACTCGAGGGAAGTAAGAGGCGTCCAGTCCAGTGGACAGCTGAGCAATACTTTCAGATGTTTGACTACTAATGGCATACAACCTGTCTCGTTTGAGGCTTATTCTGGTGAAGAACAGGAACAGAGTGTCTGAATATCTGAGATCTTTGTTTGTCTGAATATAATTAGAATGGAAAACACTAAAGAAATGAGCAGTAACATGCGTAGACTGTGATCGATGTCAGAATACACAGGGCTGATTGTGGACGTCAAACGAAGAGTTTCATTTTTGCAAAGATTGTAAAGTCAATAGTGCAACATGACATCATGACTTTTGCGTAAACATATACGCCACTTTCGAGTCAGGTGGCGTGTTATCTCTACACATTTTGAGCTATCCGCGTGTATGTCTACGCCATTAACGTCCGCGTCATTCCGCGTGTCCGTACACGCAGTCAAATGTCCAGTCATAAATGCCATTAACCCCAGTGACGGTTAGGTTTAGGGACGGGGTTGAGGTAAGTCATATATTTATATAACGTTAAGTCAACGGCGTTCATAAACACGCTGAAAGGCGATTATGTGTCTTGATAGCACGCCAAAAATGGAAATACGAATTGGAATACGAATACACACACTACTTCATGAGATCAGTCTGAATAGTAGTAAACTATTTGCCCTTAACTCATTTTGATGACCAAAAATACATATTTAAACATGAAAATATACGTATTCTTCATTCCTTAAAATATCTTGAATGTAACTCTACACCCTTGTTTCATTTAGTATACGCGGCTCCATGAATATGCTAATTCTCCCCGCCTCCACTCACTCACTCAGCTCGCAGATTGACTGATTGCCCAATGATATCGCTCTTTACAACACATGCCGGTAATGAATCTGCCTTTTGCTTGACTGCTTTCACACAGCTAATAATGTGTGCTAATGTTAATGTTCCTCCTCAGAGCCCGCTGCCGTCATCAGAAACGCTTACTCAGAACATCAGTGGAGAAAGACATATAGTTCATCATAACATCGCAATCCCTGTATTGCTAAATCAACACAATTTTTCACAGTTTGCTCGGCTGTCACAATGAAAGTCCTGAAATATCATCTGACACTCCAAACTCGAGCAACAAAATGGCCAGTCCTCTGGGGGTTTCCTCGTTTCCGATGTTAGGCTTCAAGTAGTTTTTCATTTCTTGGTACACTTTGTAAAGTGCAAACTGTGCTGAAGTGTCTGGTTGTCTGAATTTGTCTTCTCTTTCCCTGATTTGCATAACAAAGCATCTGCTAGATGAATAATAGTGTTGGGATTACCAGTTCAACACATGAAACACAGGAGAAGCTGTGTTCTCCAGAGGGAATCTCTTCATATTAGCTGAAACACGAGTGACGTCAGAAGAGCCGTCTTGATTTGAACCGAGGCAGAAACACTGATCATTAATACAGATGACATGTATAATTGTTACGAGGTGCTCCTAGACTTCAGCAGAAGATCCAAATGCAGCTTTATTGGGACAATCCAGAATCGTAATCCATATAACAGGCCAAAGGTCAAACACACAGTCCATAAGAACAACTGGGCAGAAAGCACAGGCGAAAGGGTAATCCAGAAAACTGGCGGAGAGTCAGAAAACCCACATAACAGAAACACAAGATTTATAAAGTAAGAGTTAATACACAGGGCTTAAACAGGCAAGAGTAAAGGAGAGAATAGCAGTAATCTGGGAGCTGTGCTGTAGATAAAGCAGATGTAGAGAGCGCCCTCTGGTGGACATCATGGGATGGGACAGTAATCTAGAGAGAGACGGTGAAAGCAATGTTTGTCATCATTCTGAATTCAGATGTAGTCAGTGCTTTAAGTGGCCCAAAAGAGGTGCTGGTACTCTATTATTATTATTTATTTGTTTTATTTTTTTTTTGCTGACCTCAATGTCTCGAATGCTGACATACTTCGTGCTGTTAATGCTCTCAATGAGCGTTTTTCGTCGGTGGAACAACAGATTGCCCAGAACTCGGTCGCTATAGTTAATCTCTCAAAGACAACTGATTTTGTACACATACGATTGTCAAAACTCGAGAACACATCATTAGTAAATTTAAGAAGGGCTGTAGTGGTGGAAAAAAGTTTTCTGAATCCAGATTGGCATGGGCTATATGCACGCATAAGTTCCGCATTTGACGCAAGGATGCTCGTCCATTTCCAGTTGTGGAGATTAAAGCGGAGGAGAACCGAGGAAAACGGGATAATGGCAGAATCTTCCAAATTTACTGTCTTCCCGTCTTTGAAACGAAACGTATATACGTTTAGATGTAGTTTTATATATAGTTATGTTTATTTAATATAATTTTAAAAAGAAGCATAAACACAACGAGGGGTGTCTGTTTTATCTGTTTTTGTGACTAACGTTTCTTTAGTATAACCATGGAGTATAAAATTCAATATAAATTCTCGGTATTGCATTGGACTCTACGATCGGCGAGTTGCACAGTTTTGAAAATGAACGTTAAGGGTTGTTTTAAGGGCATGTTTGTGCATGCCCATAGACAGCCAGTCTAACGCTGTCACAGGCGATTTTAAAATAGTCAAAAAGTCGAGACAGGACCCATTGCCAAAATTTCTAAGTCCACCACTCTATTTCATTCAAAACAAACTACAAAATAGACTCAAGGTGTTAAATACCGGAATTATCCTTTAAAAATCGTTCTCGTAATCAAATTGTGTTGTTCTAATTCTTCTGAGGTAAACCCAAGGTGCAAAGACCAAACACTTCCACGCTCGACTAAACACTCCTGCTTCCACACTCCTGCTTCTCGAGGTGATGAGGGCGGTAACAGCTCTGTGTTCCTCCGCATGGATCATTTGCATATGAACAGCTCGCGTGCATGTGGGCATGGTCACATTTTGAAGAAATTGTACATGTCGTTGCTTTCATACAAATTACTTAAACAGAGAATATTTGTTTTTGGTATGATTTACATCATTTAAAAATGGAGACTTAAAGCTTCGTAAAGACATGTTTCATGGCACAGTGACAAGCATTTGAGTTATAGGTCATTTACTCTTGCATTTCAGAATGAACTTCAGGAGAATGCACATCATGATGATTTTATTTATTTTGCGAAAAACATAGCATTTTTTTTATATGAGTATACACAAATAAAAGAAGACATTAAACAGTTTTGAATGATGTGTAACACTTATATGTAAGATCAAAATCAACAGAGTAATTTGAGTTTGTTTTGCACTGATAAGAACAAAAGCGAGCAGGTCACGCCGGCGTGATTACTGACCCCAAAGGGTCAATGTTGAGATCTAAAATCAACCAGTCGTCGATATAATTCAACACAAGAATGCCCTGAAGTCTCAGTGGAGCCAGAGCTGCATCCACTCATTGTGTGAAAGTGCGGGGTGATAAACCTAGGCTAAAGGGAAGAACACGATATTGGTACACTTCACCCCCGAAGGCGAACCTCAGGAACTTCCTGTCATTAAAATCTATCGTGACAATCCAGTCCTCGGACTGATTCTCTGACACGATCTGTTTGAGTGTAAGCATTTTGAACTTGAGTTTTAGAACCGTGTGGTTTAGTTGACGCAGGTCTCGAATAGGACGGCAGTAGTTTCCACGCTGGCGCTCTGAAATGGAGAACTGGCAGGGACCAACCGAACTGGCAGCACTAAATTGCGTGTGTCCCCACTCGTAATGAAGCGAGGGCAGGGATGAACACACGATCACAAAAAGCTGTTTGCTCGCCAATATACTCCTGTCTAGATATATAATATGCTCGAGGACAAACAGCAATAAATAGACCGAGACCGTTTCACACAGAAGATTTACTTATTTAGCTGACGCTTTTATCCAAAGCGACTTACAATTGCTATATATGTCAGAGGTCGCACGCCTCTGGAGCAACTAGGGGTTAAGTGTCTTGCTCAGGGACACATTGGTGTCTCACAGTGGATTCGAACCCGGGTCTCTCACACCAAAGGCATGTGTCTTATCCACTGCGCCGCCACCACCACCCCCACCCCCTGATTACACAGAAGCTTGTGACTGTTTGTTCCAGGTATGCTTTATAGTTTCCTAGTCAATGACATCACCTTCCATCACACAATTGGACTGATTTCATTGGTGCTTCAAGATGCAATCACACAGAGGCGTTTCCACATGATCTTGACGGAGCTCGATTTCCCTTGAAAGGGTTCCCTTCCCCATTTAATAATAAATGTTTCTTGTACATCAGATCATCATATTAGAGTGATTTCTGAAGGATCATGTGATACTGGAGTAATGATGCTGAAAATTCAGCTTTCACCACAGAAATAAATTACACTTTAAACATTAGAATAATATTTCACTATTTTACTGTTTTTTTGTTAAAATAAATGCAGCCTTGGTGAGCAGAAGAGACTAGAAAAAATGGCAGTATGCATGTTAGATGTGTTTGTTGTTTGCTTCTATCAAAGCCTGTCTGCAGATGATCTGTGTGTGATGAGTGTGTGTTTGTGTGTCCGCAGGATGATTCCTCCCTCCAGTCAGGCGTTCCAGGTGTCCAGCCTGGTGTCGGGCTGTCGGTATGACCTGTGTGTGCTGGCGGCCTGGGACGACACCACCTCCACGCTCACGGCCACCAGCGTGGTGGGCTGCGTGCGCTTCCACACCAGCGAAGGGTTCCCACGGTGCCAGGCTCTGCACGGGCAGCTGCTGGCGGCACCATGATCCTGGTGGTGGGAGGAGTGATCGTGGCCACGCTGCTGCTGTTCATCGGGATCCTCGTGCTGCGCTACAAGGCAGGAGATGGCGGGAGCGCTGAAGCTGAAGCTGAAGGTCCGGTCAGCAAGCTGAGCGACAGCACTGACTCCTACTCTCAGCCCAACGGAGGACGGCTGGGGCAGAACGGCGTTCCTCTGCTCCGGTTCAAACCTAAAGTGGCCCTGCAGGACAGAGTGGTCCAGTTCAAGTCTGGTTCTCTGCAGAGCAGCCTGTCCTCCTCCTCTTCCTCCTCAAGTTCAGGAGACGCTCCTCCCTACAGCCCCAACAGTGCCCTCGCCAGCATCCTGAGGGCCGCTCCGCCCAGACCCCGGCAGAACCTGGACCAGCTGTTGGGGGCCTTCGCATCTGTGGATCTGCGGGGCCCGTCTTCGGAGCCGCTCCCATCTGGAGGCCCTGCTCCTACTCTCCCGGCGGCGGAGCCTACGGACCGGGAGCCGCTGCTGGGCCGGACTCTGGACTCGCGGATCAGCAGGTTACTCACATCGCCTCTGGCCTCCAGGCCCCAGAGGAGCCACTCGTTCGACACCGGTGACTTCACTGTGTCCTGCGCACAGCAGCTGTGCACTTACCCGCGGCGGATCAGCAACATCTGGAGCAAACGCAGTCTGTCAGTGAACGGCATGCTGCTGCGCTGTGATGAGGACGGGGACGGGGACAGCAGCGGGAGCAAAGGCTCCAGCGGGAGCACAGACTGGGTCATGGAGAGCACTGTATAGGGCTGATCCTACGAGCACAGACTGGGTCATGGAGAGCACTGTATAGGGCTGATCCTACGAGCCCAGACTGGGTCATGGAGAGCACTGTATAGGGCTGATCCTATGCCCCATACACTGCAGGACATCACTATTATTACTGTTACTCGCCTTGCCATATCCAGAACAGGGGAAGAGTCAGGGGGAATTCACCAAACAATCTAGAACGTTATTTGTGACCCTGGACCACAAAATCAGTTATTAGTCGCATGGGTATGTTTTTGGCAATAGCTAAATTATAAATTTTTCTTTTATGCAAAAAAAATCATTAGGATATTAAGTGAAAATTATATTCCCTGAGGGTATTTTTTACATTTCCAACCAAAAAAATATATAAAAAAGTTATTATTGTGAGTGGATGAAGCAATATTGAGGACTTCATTTGGACATCTTTAAAGGCGATTTTCTCAATATTGCACCCTCAGAATCCAGATTTTCAAATAGTATTATCTCAGCCAAATATTGCCCTATCCAACCACACCATACATCAATGAAAAGGTTTTGTAGTCCAGGGTCCCATATTTCAGTGCAAAATAACCCTGCTAAATCTTGCAAATCATGCAGTTTTCAGCTAAACACTTCTATTTTCTCGGTAAAGTACGCTTGTTTTAGATTGCGCCTTTAAACCTGTGCTCATCAGGGATGATCACTATAATGATACGGTTTTAAAGAAAGGATCTACATATAAAGATAAGCAGGGTCCACATCATAACGCCACCGTTCCTGTTATTTTTGTCGCTGGAATCACTTTCAAAACAATTTTATCAACTGATGCAGTATAAAAACATTGCTAATCAGCCAATCAGAATCCATCCTGCTTTAACAAGCTCAAGCATTTAAAGTGACAGACGCCAAACTGCAGCATGTGTGTAATGAACGGAGTGATATCGTGAGTTAGTGTGGACTCTGATATAGTTATCATTATCTTTATAGTCATCGTTCTTAGTGTGAACTGGCCTTCATTCATAAATTGGCCTGGTGAAGTTACCATCGCACTATTCCTGCGTCCAGAAGTTAATTCAGAAGAGATGACTCTTTATCGCGGCAGTTCTTCATCAAATGGAGAAGAGCGTTATAACAGATGCTGCGGTTGAGGGCTTTCAGAGTGGATTCAGACAGTGTTACGTTACCTGCGTCATGCTTTCTGGGTGAATTCCTCCTCAGCTGGTTGTGCTGATTCACTGGTGTGTGTGTGTGTGTGTGTGAGTGTGTGCATGTCATCTTTATGTCTTATTAGGGTCTGAAACTATGGGATGGGTTGGAATATCAACTCTTGTGCTGCTGCCGTTCTCTAGGCTAGTAGAACTGATGAACATAGACTGAGGAAATGGATTTGCCATGCCAATGGACTCCCTGAAGATCAGCACAAAGACTCTGTGAATATCTTCTTGTGCAACAGTGTATAAATGTGTAATGAATTTTAAAGTTTTATATTTTTTATCTTGTTGGTCAAACGCTCCTCTTTCTTGATGAAAGAGAACTGAAATGCATTCATCTCATCCTCACTCTCTTCCAGCTCTCGTTTACTCTTTTTTCCCTATGAGAAATCATGTGTGCAATTTCAATGAATCTTCAAATATTTGAAGCTGGTTGTTTACATGTGATGTTTTTCTATATTTATGTATTTACAAAGGTGATGGAATGACATGAGACATCAGTAATGAAAATGACTGAAAACATATCTGTTGTGTTATTTTGAGTCAGGGTCTGCAGTTCACTGACCTCCAACTGTGCCATGGGATCACTTTAAATATTAAAATATTCAACATGCATGCAATTAACACCTCCCAAATAAGTAATGTGTTTAATAAAGAGAATCCGGTCCTTCACACACTGTTGGTCAGCCTCGAGGACCACTGGCCATCCCGTCCAACACTGCTGGAGAAAACAGATTTGCCTTCGACATCGAAACATCCTTCTGGGTTCAGTGTTATCTGTTCTGCTTCACATGAGTAACACATGCCCCTTTTCCACCAAAGAAATTTGAGAGGCGGTTTGGAGCCGACTCCTGCGCACAAACCAGTTCTTTGTGTTTCGACAGCCAAAGAACCGGTTCTCGGCCTGGAAAACTGGTTCCAAAGCGGCACCAACTCTTTGCTGGACTAGAACCGTTCTTTCACCACGTCATGCTTATGTCGGGGGCTTGGCCGGGTTTAGATGTGCTCTAAACATCTTTTCTGACCATAGCAAAGCCAGGAGAAACCTTTTCAGAAACACAATGGAGTCCGCCTTTGTAACTGTTATGCTTGAAGTTGGTGCAAGCGTTTCTATTTAAAAAAAAATTATTGAAAACATTATAAGCAAAGAAGAAAAAAGTCACAATATAGAACAAATAAATGGAAAGAAAAAGACACAAGACTAACATAACTAATCAGAAAAGATTACATATTAATGGAAAAGATTTAAAAGACTTACATAATTCAATTGTTTTTAAACCCTTCTTGGTACACGAGTTAGAGATAATCCCAAAATAATGTTGTACTTGCAAGCGTTTCTATGGCGACGTGCACAGTGACGTAACGACGTCGTTCCCTGGGCGCTCTAGTCAGTGGAAAAACAAACAGGTTCTGAACGGGTTGAACCAACTCCAAACCAGCACCAGTTCCGAACCAGTTCTTTTTTGGTGGAAAAGGGGCAACAGGAGTGACACCGCATCACACGTCCCAGATCATTCCTGAAGGATTCAGTGCATGTACATCAGAAGTCCAGCTCGTCTGAGAAACAGAGGTGTGTGTCCGAGTTTAGTAGTTTCATGAAATTAAACACAAATAACCCTGAAACATCCCCCTGATCGCACCGTAGCCATACGAGTCAGAAACTAAACGAATCTGAAAGAGCATCCCAGCAAACGCTGATGGGTTTGTGTTCCGATTACCCTTTTATTTTGTAATGAATTTCATTTTGCAGCCGTATCTATCGTGATATCTGCCGACTGCAGCAGTTACGAGCCGAACCGTGACGGCTGACAGTGACTTTACAGCAGAATGGCATAAATTAAACAGATCTGATATCATGCTGGGAATTCAATGCACACATTTTATATAAAATAGTCATGAGGTAATGTCTATTTTTGATAATCAGCTGAATTAAATCTTGTAAAAATAAAACGTGTTTGCCTTTTTTTCACATTTTTATTTGCATCTTGATGAACCGAATTCCCAGATCATTCATTACAAACGTTGAGATGGTTTGTTGAGTGAATCACATCACAACTCTTCCTCATGAGTTTAAAGATGAATGAAGAGTTCTGTGTGAATAAAGAGCTATCAATTTGCAATTATAATATCTTTAGCGTTTATTTTAATTTAAATTATTTATTTCCATTTTGTTTTGTTTTCTAAAGAAATGAATGATAAAACTATGTCAATGATTAAGACCTGGTCAGGCAGCACCGACCCTGAACTGGGGAGAAATAGAAGTTCATCATGAGTCGTATCCCTCAGCCGAGAGCACTAACAGTGAGTCCCACTGAGGGCCATCTCTGCAGGCCTCTGTGTGTGGAAACAGTGTTATGGCTCTCAGTGTCAAGGGGCGTGTGATGAATGGAGTTGCGTGAGTCTGGCAGTTTAGTCACCGTCTTATAAAACAGGCCAGAAACACTCGGGGGCCTTTCTCAATCTGTGTCCTTGTCTGTACTTGTGTTCTTGTGAAACGTCATCTTTTGTGGCTCAAGTATTGTCCTAATACACTATAATGTGATAATAATGTATAATTATGTGTTCTTGACACGCCTATTTTACAGAGAATGCATCGGTTGGTAATTTGTGTGAATTTGACGGCAGAAATATCTCAGCATTCAATTTGGCATTCGAGGAAGGAGAGGCGGGTCAATACAGTAAAATTACGTACGCTTTTTCATCTCTACATTCACTTCTGGGAACATTTGATGCGAGAAATCAACTGTGTGGATTTCAAATATTGGCCTTTTTACGAAAATTTATGGCGAATCGAAAATGTGCTCAAACGTTTTCGGAAGTGGGAATCTCCATAAGCGCCTGCGGGTGTTAAGTTAGCTAGCGAGCCGACCGGCCAGTTTGCTCGCAGACTCGTGTTACCCCACCGTCAAGAGATCATTGGCTGTTATCGTCAATAATTCTCGTTATGTTTGGGCACTGCAGACGGCGTCTGTGCAGGGGTACTATTGCACGATACCAGCAAGAACACATCATCTCAAACGGTCAGCAGCGTTCTGTGTGCTCGTCACCTCGTGAGTTCATTCTTCCAAGAACAACTAGCAAGAGCATTCTTCCCAAGAACACAAGTCCGATCTTTGCATTCTTGGTTTTGAGAAACACCCTCGACCTGGGCCAACCTGTGCATTATTCTCAGGCCCCGTCCATACTACTGCGTTTTCGTTTAAAAACAGAGACCTTTTGCTACGTTTGCACCTCCTGTCCACACTAAAACGGGAAAAACAAAGACCTAAAACGGAGAAGTTTAGAAACGCTGCGGCTCTGTTTTGCGTTTTGAATCTCTGGAGGGCGTTTTAGTGTAGACGAGACAAAACGGAGGACTTCAGAAATGCTGGCGCTCGGCTCTATGATTGGGTGTTATCAGTCATGACGTGTCCTTCCCTGATTCGTCAATCACTGTTTACACCGGCACGTGCATGCCCAGTGTTGGTGAATAGTCACGTGATCCGTGTTTTCAGTCGTTTTAATGTGGACGGAGATCAATTCTAATACGCAGATAAAATGCTGGTGTGGACGGAGATCATATTCGTTTTAATTCTCCGTTTTTAAACGAAAACGCAGTAGTGTGGACGGGGCCCCAATCTCAGAGGGAGTCTCTAGAGTCGGGTGTTTGCAGGACTGAAATATGATGTTCACAGGTGTAAATAATTCAAATGTCCACACGAGTCTCAGACTTCAATGAATACTTTGTATTGTTAAACAAACGTGCAGGTCACATACAAGCCAGTGCTAAATTTAACTCTCCACCGTCTCCCTCAGGGTAACGCCCCGTATGTGTGTAGGGACGTAGCAGAATGAGCTTAAAGGTATAAAGCCACCTTTACATGGCAGCAGGAGTCTTCTGAGCGGTTTACAGAGAATCGTATTTTATTTTTTTATTTAACCTTTATTTAACCAGGTTTGTCTCATTGAGATATAACATCTCTTTTTCAAGAGAGACCTGGCCAAGATGGGAGAATAAATTAGATTACACAATCACAAAACAAACACAATCGTAAAACAAACACAAAAGAGGTAAAGACAAATCATGTACATATATATTTAAAATAAAAGTGTCATTAATTAAAACATTTGCACATGTGGATGGATTCATGTTCTATAGTTTTAACATAACCTTTAAAGTCATTTAAGGGAATTAGACACTGTAGTTTAAGTGTTTTCTGTAGCTCATTCCAAGTAGAAGGAGCAAAACACATGAAAGCCTTTTTGAACAAATCTGTCCTGGCTTGAGGTACATTCAATGAAATAGTTTTCTGGGACCGTAAACCATAAGTGCTCTGTGTAAAAGAAAGAAATTCAGATATGTAACATGGAAGCCTGCCTATAATGCCCTTATATATAAAAATATAAAGGTGAGTAAGCCGGCGATTTGACAGAGAAGGCAAATTCACTGTGGAGTAAAGTGTACAGTGATGAGTGAGGGGTTTGCAATTAGAAATAAACCTTAAAGCTCCATGAAACACAGAATCTAACATCTTAAGATACTTTGATGGCGCATTCATATACAACAGATCACCATAATCAATAATAGAGAGGAATGTGGCATCGACTAGCCTTTTTCTAGCAGAGAAAGTAAAACAAGATTTGTTCCTAAAGAAAAAACCTAGCTTCAATTTCAACTTTTTTACTAGATTTTATATATGAAGCTTAAAAGAAAGATGATCATCAATTAAAAATCCTAAATATTTATAAGATGAAACTACATCAATTAAAAATCCTAAATATTTATAAGATGAAACTACCTCAATTTTTTTTTACCATGATCAGTAACAATATTTAGGTCTAACTCATTTTTCCTTGCGTTTGAAAAAAACATTACTTTGGTCTTCTCTGCATTGAGCGCAAGCTTTAATTGATAAAGCTGTGCTTGCACTATATCAAAAGCAGTTTGCAAGCATTCATACGCTTCCTAATTGTAGCTGCATAACAGTAAATAACCGTATCATCTGCATTAAAAAATGAAAAAAATGCATGCTGGACGGTTTCCCCCAGACAGTTTATGTAAATAGTGAATAAAAGTGGCCCCAGAATGGAACCCCTTTACAGATTGATGAATATTTTGACGTTGGGCCAACTTGCGTAGCTTGAGTCCTATCAGTGAGGTGGTTGATAAACCAGCCCACAGAGTGATGAGAAATTCCTATACTGATCAGTCTCTGAACTAGTATGCTATGGTCAAATGCTTTGGACAGATCAATGAAAAGAGACACACAGTGTTTCTTATCATCGAGTGCTTTGACTATATCATTAATAACTTTTAGAGCAGCAGTGGTAGTGCTGTGTTTTTTTCTGAAACCAGATTGATGCTTAGATAAAATTGACTGAGCATTTAAATACTCGTCAAATAATCGTCTCAGGCAGTCTTCTGAGCTGGATAACATCTGGCAGGAGCTGGAGCTGTGCTTCAGTCACTCGCCGCTTGAGTTCACGAGTGCCGTGATAAAGCGAGGATCAGTGTATTCCCCGCGTCCCATGGCCCCGTCAGCAGCTTCAGCGGCGAGCAGGTCCGATTCTGCGAAAGGACGGTGTTTCCATTAACCGATGTTATGTGACTAAAACGACTTTTTTTTCCTCTCGCGATAAGTCATTCCAAAAATCATGGCAACGGACATTGGTAGGTTTATAGCCTATATCACAGCCATGCACCGCACTAGACATTATTATTATCAATGGATGGAGACGTGGAGTGTCATCCAAGCATTAATAGCAGGGAAAGACACGGAGTTCCTGGTGTTTCTCCCTTATTTCTGCTTCGATGTCTTGATGGCATTTCTTTGAGGTTTAGAGAGGCTATTCCTGTAATTATTGTTTCTTTTTTTAAATGAATTTAATAAAGAACTCTATCTCGTATTATGTCCAAACGGTCGTTGCAAAACGAAAAATGAACGGTTGTTGTATTTTTAAAACGCAAAGTTGATCAGTCATTTTAGTTTGACCACACCAATGCTATATACACCAACCTATATAAATCTCAAAATATTTCAGATATTTGTTTGACTTTTTGCTCCCTTTAAAACATTTAAAATATTCACAAATTATTATGGG